GGGAACGGGGGAGGGACGAGGGGGGTTTAGAGAAGGAGAGGGAATCGCAATGCGATCGCTTTCTCTTCCAAGTCGCCACATTGTAGGAGGCGCCGACAAGAGCCATGCGAGGGTGAACTCGCAGCGCGTGGATGTCTCATCGTGCGTCGGTGAAGGTTGTGAAGGCCGTGAACAAACCACGCGCGGTTTTTTTCTCCGGCCCAACGGGCGCGTCTCCTGGCGGGCTTCCTTACGGAGGCGCGTTGGAGCCTTTGGACCGGGCGGGCACCAAGCCAAAAATAATCCACATCCAACGGCCGCGCCAGGATAATCGCGCCTTTCGGTCTGGGTTAGTAAGTGTGCTTTCTCCATGCGGTTGGCGCTGGGAGCGCGAGGACGGTCGCGTTCCGTCGTGCGGCGGCAGAATCCGCGTTCGCAACGGGCAGCACGACACATCGAGAGTGGGACGTGCGCGCGCCAAAGAGGACGCAGGAGGAGGCAGGGAGGGAGGAGGGCGAGGGAGAGGCCAACGACGATTCGCAGCTCTCTCGTGAGTGGCCGAATTGGCTCGAGTACTTTCCGCGCGCTCAGCGCGCATGTCAGGGTTGCACTCGAAACCGTTTGCGTCGATGCCCGATAGCCTCCGCGACCGATCCCGCTCGCCACCAGTGGAGAAAGGCGCGGGCAAGGACAACTTGCAGGCAGAGAACGCCGCAGGCAAGGGGAAAGACAATAACAAGAGCACGGGCGATGGTTTTGAGGAATGCTTGCAGTCAGCGCTGGAGGCCACGCTCACAGCATGTGGCCGCTCAAACTTTGAGATGGCGCAGGCAATCAAGGACATGGACGAAGCCTCGAGGCAGAACCGCGAGCTGAAAAAAAAGCTGTATTGGACTTAACACGTCGGGCGGGGTACCTTGAGATGGTTGCGAAGGCTTGTTTTTTTCCGATCAAATTAAACAGACGGTTTTGAACTACCCGCGTTCCAAGCGGGCGCGTACGAAAGAGGACTACGCAACGTGGTGGCGCCAGAACTTGGAGGACACCCAATGGGGCCCGAGGTACTGGAGCTACTACGTCAAGTGCTGGATGTACATCGCGGAGAACAACGACGAGTTCGTATACATCCGCGACTTACAGTACAACGATCGATGTCACGGCTGGACCCCAAGTACAGCTTGGGCGACCTATACGACGAGCTTCGTCGGGATCGATGGCCACAGGATTCGGGATCAGGTTCTACACGACAGGCACTTCGTAGTTTTGTTGGCCGCAGGGCCATGCTGGGTTGGCTTGAACTTTATCTTTATACAAGGTCGCCTCGAGCAGCGAATGCCCATATAACCCGGCTATACATGCATATATTTATGTACATATACACATATATGTAGAGGTACTCATGTATTTATATACATATATATGTGTATGAATATATATATATATATATATATATATATATATATATATACATATGCATATACATATATACGTGGGTGCGTCCCTCTCATATGTTGGTTTGTGCTATCCTGTCCGAAGATACTGTGCAACGTCTTGCAAGCACAAGTAAACGTTGCATATCGCCGACGCACGGCGGCGAGGCTCCCCCGCGCACGGAATCATGCGCCCGCGAGTTGACGTTCTGCGATGCGCGCAGGGGGGGGAGGGGGAGGGATGAGGGGGTCTAGAGAGGGAGGGGGGATTAGTGATGCGGAGCGCTGCCTCGTCCAGGCCGCAACATTGTAGGAGGATTCGACAAAACAGCCATGCGAGGCTGAACTCGCAGTGGCGGATGTCCCAGCACGCGGCGGTGGAGCTTTTTGAATCCAGCAAAAAACCACGCGTGCTTTTTTTCGCCAACGCGAGTGCCTCCTGGAGGGCTGCATCTCTGGAGGCGCGTGGGAGAGTGTGGACAGGTCGAGGATCATTCCCAAAAGAAGTCCACGCCGCAAAGGCCGCTCCAGAATTGTTCCTCGTGGTCTGGGTTATCGAATGTGCTTTCTTTCTGCGGTTGGCGGTAGATCCCCTGGCACCCAGAACTTCCTCCGCAAAGGACGTTCATGCGAAAATCGTTGGAATGCTTCAGTGCCGCTGTGGCTTCAAATTTCGATGGCAGCGGCTTCTCCGGAATCCACTCCAAGGTTGCGCCCAGAGAATCGCGCCCTGCGGTCTGGGTTGGCGAGTGTGGTTTTGGCATGCGGCTGGCTCCAGAGGCGCGAGGATGGCCACGCTTCGCGCGGCGGCTGCCCCTCCGACAGCGAGGCCCCCCTCTCCCGCCTATCAGAAATCACTTGTTTTTATTTGCTGGGTTGCTACATTGCTGTTGTGGTGGACATATCGATGGCAACGGCGTCCCCGCAGGGAACCCGAGGAAACCCGAGGAAATCTGGAAATGTGGGCTCCGAGCCTCATAAGGCTTCCTCAGGATTGAGGACTGAGGCTACGGAAAAGGAAAGAACCTGAGGATATGCCCACTCCGTGCCCCAGGGCACGGTGGTTCATAGATATTGTCATTTATGTTCGGGCTTGGCTCGGTGCTCCCATGTTCCGTATTCCCATGCGCAGCGCGAGTTTGCATGGACAGGCGACGCCGTGCGATCGTCCGACAGACGCGGCCTGCAGCGGGTAACGAGGGGGAGGGGGAGGACGCCGAGGAGGAGGACGAGGAGGGAGAAGGAGGACAAGGAGCAGGAGGAGAAGGAGGAGGAGGAGGGGGAGGGGGAGGGCGAAGGTACATCGCGTGTTTTTTTTCACAGGCTCGTTTGTGAGCTTGTCTCCATATTCATGTTGCTTCGCCTCGAAGGGGGCGTTTCGTGTACTTTTCGCAGGCTCGGTAGTGAGCTTGTCTCCATATTCATGCAACGTCGCTGTTATGTTGAAGTTGTGCTGCTTCAATTCCGTACGTGGAATGTAAAGTCCCTCCACGTGCACACTCCGTACTTCTCTTCACCCTTCTCCTTTCTCCCCTCATCCTCCTCATGATACTTTCCCTCGTCATCCTCACGTTCCGGAGGTTGCCGATGGCCTTCTTCCCCCAAATGGAGTGGTGGTGGAAACGCTCCCGACAAGGAAGGGCCCCGCCTCCCCGCTCAAGCGGGGCCCCCCGACAGAGAATCGATTTGCCCTCCCCCGCCCCTCCCGCCCCCGAATCGGTAACCTCCGGAGGTTACCGATTTCCCCTCCCGCCCCCCCCCCCCCGAATCGGTAACCTCCGGAGGTTACCGACCTCCCGCCCCCCAGGGGGATGGAGAGGAACACGTTCCCAGGGAAACAATTCCAAGGAAAGAAACAACTCCAGAACCACAGGGGGGAACGGCTTCAAAACCCCGCTCCGGGAGAAGCAACGGGAACCTCCGCAGGTTACCGATCCCCCTCCCCCTGGGAGGAAGGGGGGAGCAAATTCGGTGGAATCCGGAGGTCCGAATCGGTAACCTCCGGAGGTTACCGACCCAACCTCCGGATTCCACCCGCTACGTCGTTATGCCCCCCCCGGCCCCCCCACCCGCCTCCATAACGCCTGTCATCGCCACGAATATAGCAACGGGCTCATAGAGTTTCTTCGAATTCATCGGTCTTGTTTGCCTTTTTTTTGAAAGGTCTTCTTCGGGTTGATGGGTCGTGTTTCCTTACTGTTGTTTAAGAGCCCTTCCCCAGGTTGCTTGGTAGTGTTTAATTACTTTGTTTCGAGTTGCCTTCTTTGGGTTGCTTGGTTTTGTTTCCTTATCGTGTTTGCAGAGGCTGTCTCCGTGTTGCTTTGGATTGGATTGTTTCCTTGTTGTGTTTTGAGGCTTGGTCTTGATTCCGTTTTTTTTGTTGAAGCGGTTATCATCGGGTTGCTTGGTCTTGTTTCATTATTATGGTTGACGAGGCTTTCCTCGGATTCATTCGTGTTCTTTCCCTGCAGTTCTTAAGAGGGCCTTCCTCGGGTTGGTTTGCATTTGTTCTTTCATACTGTGTTTGATAGCTCCTTCCTCGGGTTGCTTAGTCGTGTTCCCCAAGTCGACTTGCCACGCAACGCCAAGCAATGTAAAACAACGCCAGCCAAGTCCAAGCAACGTCAATGAATGCTTAGCTATGCACATCAGCGCCAAGCAACGATAAGCATCGCCGAGCAACGCCAAGCAATGGCAAGCAGCGCCAATCAATGCAAGGCGATGCCGAGCAATGTCAAGCAACACAAATCAAATCGAAGCAATGCAATGCTACGCGAAGCAATGCAATGTAAAGCAATACCGCTAAGGAATCGTTCCGAAAAATGTGGGCGTGCCAGGTTCATTTTTGCTCGCCACCGCCGACCATAGGCCGCTCAAAAGCTGTCCCCGGACCCCATCCAGGGGTCCATCCTGGCCAGTCTCCCCGGGCCGTTTCCCGCCGTGGCCACGAGAACCCCCGGAAACGCCCGAAGACCTCCAAGATAATTCCATCGAGTTTTCGCAAGACCAAGAAACCGCACAAGCAAAGGTTTTCGGGGGGGTGCACGGGTTTCTTGGGTTGGCGCTGAAGTCCCTTGGCGGCGCCTTCGTCGCCGCCACGTACGCGCTTCGCGCGCTGGGGGCGGGGGCGCTGGGGTGTTATCGCTTGCCTTTCTGCGGCCTTCGGGTGGCTTCTCGTGGGAGTCGACTGTTGCCATGATGCGCAGCTGTGGACCAGGGGGGAGGACGGAGAAGAGGAGGAAGTTCGACGATGACAATTAGAAGACAGGACAGTCTGCATAGCACACAAGCTTTCGAAGGTCTGGCTGGATTTCTTGGGTCGGTGCTGGGACCCCCATCTTCGATGTCGACTGCGATGGTGACGGCGGCGTTACCTCGAGAAAAAAGGCATCTGTGCGGCAGAAGACCCGTAAACCCTGATCAGCTCACACGGTTCACGGTGGGTTGACTACGATGGAGGGCCAAGGTGGGCCAGCGATTTCGAGGGTTTCGCATCCTTCACCGTGCGGTAGAAGATGTACAGGCAAGCCGCGCAAGGAAGCGCCAGCCTCGTCGTCGTCGCCGTCGTCGTCGTTACCGTCGCCGCAAAAG